ATTACAAGCATGAGCAGCTACATCTTGCTTTGGACCCGTCTTGAAAAATCAATGACATGCAGATACAGTTGGGTGACTGGTCCAAGCCAAAAACTAGGTTTCAGATCCCCCCACTCTCTCTCTCTCTGCTGTTTCTTTGCCTGGTGCTCCACCTCTGAGATAGCATGTTTCCCAGCCATTTTCTCGGGTTAAAAATTCAGAACTTCAATATCTATAAGCTTATTGAAATCAAATACTCAGGTAAGTACATCATTCCCAGCCTTTTGTTTTATTAAAGAGGAAGTAAAATGACAGAATACCTTTTATATGCCAAGAGCTTTTGAACAAATATATCATTCAATGCTTTGTATTATCACACGGTGCATGGTCCATTTCACGGAGGAGAGAGGGAAAGCATTTGACCTGCTTTCTGTGAGCCCCTTGCTACAGACATCATTGGGACAGGAGTCTTGTGCATCATGCTGCGTACACCACAGCAGCTAGACATTTCCTCATTGCTCCCTTGGTGGTCGGGGTCTCAGATGGGACCTATGACTGGTCAGCTGGCTGCTGCTACCTAGAGCTCCCAAGTTTTGCAGCACAAAGCACAAAGATGGAGGTGGGATTAGATATTCTTTGTATCCATGGTGATGAGGCTAATAGTGGCCCTTAGTGGCAGTGTCCCGAGGCGGGACCTCACCGCTGCACCTTTCCCAGGATGATTCTTCTTCCCCCAGATCTTGGTTTCCAGCCGAATTTTCAAGTCAGCCTCTTGAGCTTTTGTTAGTTCTTCAGTACATCGTAAGGAAATTCCAGTTCGGGCAGACAGAACCAGAGTTGGCACAGTACTGGCAACCAAGTACTCTGGTTAAAATGTAAGGAAACTGGCTCCAAGGTCAAAGAAACAGTTTAGTAGCCATAATTGGCAATAGGCAGTGTTTTGGCTGGGACGACTGTGCTGTTGTGTTTCCTGGATTCTGTGCTGCCTGGAGAACTCCACAAAAGGGCACAGAGGCACCGAGTAAGTGTGGTACATAGATGAGGTTGGTGAGTGAAGAACAGTTACCCCAAGTCCGTGTTCAAAGACACACACATAAATAAGCAAGTATACTCACGCCAGAGACTGAGCTGTGTTCAAATATTATCTAAGTGCACACATCACCATATAATAAGTTGGAAACAGGAGCCTTGTCTATATTTATGTCATAGGATTGAACTTGAGTCTGTAGAAAAGGAGACTGCTGTTCATTAAGCTACAGCTTCACCATGAAATTTAACCGATGCACATGTCTCCATGGTCAATTTTCTATTAACCTCATCATTGCTGTAGAACAACACTGTCCTATTCTCCCCCCCCCCCCACTGTTTGTGATCTTACATCTGTGTCTTTGAATGTGTCACCTGTCTCTTTTTCTTTAGGCTTGAACATTGCCAACATACAGCACTGTATCCCCTCTCAATCTTCCTGCATATCCATTTCTACAAAGGACCTCGACATGGCACCCATTGGGCTGGATGGGAGTGGGCCAGGGGGGGTTCCAGGCCGTTATTGAACTAACAGAAGAACTCTACAACAAAAAGAGACTTACCTCCTTAACGTGCTTAAAACTAAAATGGTAGTTCGTGCCATTTTAGGCTGGCCTGCCTCTACCTCCCCTATGGTTCCAAGAAAAGCTGTGCCTTTTCTTATTGAACTGTAAAATGGAGCCCAAGATCCTTGTTGGTAAAATAAATAAGCACCAGGCATCTCAGGGTCTTTGGGGACAGATCCCTTGCCCAGACCTGGCTCATGACAGCCAATGAACATTTTTTCGTTTGTGTTTTGGATTAAGAAAATGAGTTCTGCATGTTTCCTAGCATCACAAGGAGCAGTGAATTGAATTGGTGCCATTGTAAGCTTGATTGTTGTTGCATAGATAAAAGCCTCATTAAGTCCCTCATGAGGAGAGAAAAATTTTATTTTGAGGAAAGAGGAGCGACGAGGGCTTCTTTGCTTGTTGTGGTTACAACAACAAAACATTAAATGGAGGAAATAATTAAATAACTGAACTTTTTTTTTTCCTTTACCCAAACCTTGTCAAGAGGCTGGGTGAGTTTTTAATTAGTGCTGCATTTTCAATAAATCCGGATCGGTACGTGGTGCCGATTCTTTCCTGGATAAGGGAAAGATAATAATGAGAGTCTTATTTTTCAGTCCCACACTAACGGGATGCCTGGTATATTTAATCATGCTGTAGAAATCCTGGCAGCCTTCTCTGAGCCTGGCCTCTGCTCTAATTACATTTCTAGATTTTAGTAAATTGAAAGGGAAAATGTAGGAACAAAATAATTAAAACCGAAGAGGAAGTGCATATTAAAAAGGAGAAGCTGTTTAAAATTCTTGCACATAGTGCTTCCAAGGACATCTACAATCGTTTAATCAGCTCCACACCAAATCAAAGCCCTTTGTGCAGAGGCTGCTGGGATCATATCTCAGGTGGGTGGTGTGGTCCTCACAGTAAAACTGGAGCCTCATTGCACAGAGCTACAGATGGCAATAGGACCTCTTATGGACCTCCAGATCACTGGGGATTCAGGCCCAGTGTGGACAAGCTGCTTGCACAGATTCCATACCCGATGGAGCCCTCGCCCATATCCTGGGCAGAGTCTAGCTAAACTGTAAGGATTAGATCCAATTGTAAGGAGGCTGAAACAGATGTCCGTTCGTTTCTGCACCTCTTCCCCATGCTCCTTTCCCAAGGGCTCTCTCTTTCTTTCTCCCTCTGCTCTTCTGTGAAATTCTAAGTTGAGAGAAGAGGCAATTAAACAGCTTCAGTGTCACCAAGAGCTAGTGACTTGTAACTGGTCACTGAGTTACCATTGGAACATTTTGAATTTTTACAAGCACCAAACACTTTTCTGGCTTCAGCTAAAGAGATGATTGTTTGTTGATAATGATGCTAAATGAAATCTAATTGGAAAGTTTCAGGCAACTGCCTAGTAGGTGACAAGAGCAATTTCTGTTTCAGAGGCAAGCACACTAACCACATCATTAAAGAATCTAGGATCTCCAATTTTAAAAAAGAAAAAAATTGGTTGGGTATAGTGGAGCACACCTGTAATCTTAGCACTCAGGAGGTGGAGGTAGAAGGATCAGGAGTTCAAAGCCAGCCTCTGCTACATAGTGATTTTGGGGCTAGCTGAACCTATGTAAGATCATCTCAAAACAAGAACCAAAACCCAAAAACAAAGCAGAAAACAAACAACAAAAATAGTAATTTTATCTGGAATAGTGGTTGTGTAAGTCCTGGGGGTTTTGGATAGTTTTGCCCATGATTCTGAAAACGTTTAAAACTGGGATTAGGGCTGAGCATTGGTGGTGCACGCCTCTATTCCCAGCACTTGGAGGCAGAGGCAGGCGGATCTCTGTGAGTTCGAGGCCAGCCTGGTCTCCAGAGTGAGTGCCAGGATAGGCTCCAAAGCTACACAGAGAAACCCTGTCTTGAAAAAACCAACCAACCAACCAACCAACAACAACAACAACAACAACAAAACAACAGATTGGGATTAGGGGATCTGCTTGTGCACTTGAAAGTAGAAGGCAGCATGGCACTGTCAAGGGTTCTTTTCAATCTCTGTGGTCTGGCTCGTGGGCTGCCAGCCTTCCCTGATAAACAGGCTCACCAGCCACATGGTGCCAAGAATCATGTGGCAAGAGACAGAAGCAAAGTCTCCTGGAGACTGTCCCACAGGCCTGGAAAGCAGTAGGGCTCCAGGAAGCTACTCCCAAGACAGTCTGAAACCTTGTTACCTACCTCATGACCTACTGGGTTACTGGGTTGCTCTCGTGTCCAATGGCGAGTGCATGTGTTATTTGTGCAAGAGAGACAGAATCTGCTTTAGATTTTGAGGGTTTGATTCAGTAATTTTTTTTCTTAGCATTTAAGGTTAGCAAAGAATGTAACAACAAATATTCCACTGCTGACATCATTACTTCAACATGAAGATGACTGTTTTCTTCCAGGGCCAAGATGCTCTGAGACAATTCTACTCAATTTCGGAATCATGGTTGGCCCATAGGAGCTAAGACGTGAGACAGACTGGGGATCCAGGTGTCCTAGCCAATAAATTGTCACAGAGTCAGCCTCCTCTCCGTTTGGTTTCTCTCTCACACACATACCTATGCACACACACACACACACACACGTACACACACACACAAACATGCTACTACACACACCCCCTTCTGCCTTTCCCAGAAAGAATGGTCCTTTAGTTATTGTTTTCAAATGCTAATTTACTTATTTAGTTTTTTTGAGACATGGCCTCATCGTGTAATTCTGGCTAGCCTGGAACTCAGTATATGGACCAAGCTGGACTTAAACTCACAGAACTCCTCCTGCCTCTGCCTCCTGAGTGCTGGAGTTAAATGTGTGCCACACAGCACCCGAGTAAAGAACTATAAATGCTAGCATTTGCAGGCTAGACTTGTTGAGCATGGATCTCTATGAATTCGAGGCCAGCCTGTCCATAAAGAGAGGGCCAGGCCAGCCAGTGTGAGAACCTATCTCAAGAAACAAAGCAAACAAAAACAAAATGTAAAAGTACTTTTTAAAAAAGAGTGTCTAGCAATCATTAAAGTCCAGAAAACATTTTTACTGCGAGTTGGCTAAAAAAGAAAGTTAGAGCATCTTCAATTCACAAATTGCACATCTAGGTTTCAGTTGTGAAATGCCTGTTGCTGCCCCATCCACCCGGTCCCTGGCTCTCAGCCGCCTCCACTGGGCCTCGCACCTCGGCGCGATCTTCCGCGCACTGCACGAGACCCCCTCC